AAGCTCTTACCCCAAAGCTTGGATCTCTAGGTTTATAAAACACTAGGTTTCTATGGTCATTTTACTGTGTAGTTAATCTATTCCATTGATCCACAACTTTGTAATATAGTTTGAAATCTGGAACTATTAATCCACTTTCCTTAATATTATTTTTTCATTTATCCCCATGATATTCTCAATCTTTTGTTTTTCCAGATGAATTTTGTTACTATTTTTTCTAGCTCCATAAAATAATTCTTTGGTGGTTTAATTAGTATGGCACTGAATAAATAAATTAACTTATGTAGAACTGGCATTTTATTATATTGGCTCAGCTTACCCATGAACAGTTAGTATTTCTCCAATTGTATAGATCTGTTTTTATTTGGGTTAAAAGGATTCAAATTTATCCCCATTGCAGGTTTTAGAGAGATACTACTCGTTTTAAGAAAGACTCCATCGATTCCTGTGCTTTCTAGTGTTTTAAATAGAAATAGGCATTGCGTTTTGTCAAAGGCTTTTTCTGCATTCATTGACATAACCATATGCTTTTTGTTGTTTTCATTATTAATATGGTCAATTATGCTGATAGTTTTGCTAATAATGAACCAGCCTTGTATTCCTGGTATAAATCCCACCTGGTGATAGTGCATGATCTTTGTGATATATTGCTGTAATCTCCTTGCTAGTATTTTATTTAAATTTTTGCATTGATATTCCTTAAGGAATTTGGTCTATACTTTTCCTTCTCTGTTTTTGCTCTCCTTGATTTTAAGTCTCAAAACCATATTTGTAAAAATAAAGGAAATTTGGTATTTCTTACCTATTTATTCAAATAGTTTATATAGTACTGGGATTAATTGTTCTATAAGTGTTTGGTAGAATTCACTTGTATCCTAAATAAAATACTAGCCAGGAGACTACAACATATATCACAAAGATTATCCATGGTGACCTAATAGGACTTATATTGGAAATTTAGGGATGGTTTAACAAGGAGAATTATTAACATAATTGATTATGTTAATAATGAAAGTAACAAAAATAATATGATTATATCAATAGATGCAGAAAAAGCTTCTGACAAAATACAACACTCATTCCTATTAAAAACACTTGAAAGTATAGGTATAAATGGATTTTTCCTTAAAATGATAAGAAGCATCTACCTAAAACCCTTAGCAAGCATTATTTATAATGGAGATGAGCTAGAAGCCTTCTCAATAAGATCAGGGGTAAAACAAGAGTGCCAATTATTACCAATATCATTCAATATTCTATGAGAAATGCTAGGGGTGGCTAGGTGGTGCAGTGGATAGAGCACTGGCCCTGAAATCAGGAGGACCTGAGTTCAGATCCGGTCTCAGACCAAACATTTGACACTTACTAGCTGTGTGCTTGCAAGTCACTTAATCCCAATTGCCTAAAAAAAAAATGCTAGCAATAGAAATAAGAGAAGAAAAAGAAATAGAGGGAATCAAAATGGTCAATGAGGTAATAAAACCATCTCTTTTTGCAGATGATATGCTTCTATACTTGGAAAATTCTAGAGATTCAACTAAAAAGTTAATTGAAAGAATTAATAATTTTAACAAAGTGGCAGTATATAAAGTAAACTCATATAAGTCATCAACATTTCTATATACCACCAATAAAACTTTGCCTGAAGAGATAGTAAGAGACACCTCATTTAAAATAGTTGTAGACAATAGAAAATAATTGATAGTATACCTGCCATGACAAGCCCACGAACTTCATGAGCATAGTGTATAAAACACTTTTTCATACAAAGTCAGATTTAAATAATTGGAGAAAAATTAATCATTCACCGGTGAACAAAGCCAATATAATAAAAATGACAATTCTACCTAAACTAATTGCTTATTCAGTGCCAGCCCAATTAAATTACAAAAATATATTTTATTAAGCTAGAAAAAAAATCATACCAAAATTCATTTGGAAGAACTAAACATCAAGAATATCAAAGGAATTAATGAAAAAATGTAAAGGGAAGAGGTTTAGCAGTAGCAGATCTTAAACTATGCTGTAAGGCAGTAATTACCAAAACTATCTGTTACTGGCTAAGAAACAGAAATGTAGATCAGTGGAAAAGAGTAGATATATAATACACAGTAGTAAATGATTATAGTAACCTTGTGTTTGACAAATGTAAAGATTTAAGCTTTTATAATAAGAATTCCCTATTTGGTAAAAAAAAAATTGTTGGGAAAACTGAAAAGCAATCTGGTAAAAATTGGGTCTAGATCAATATCTTAAACCATTTACCAAAATAAGGTCAAAATAGATACATGACCTAGACACAAAGGGAAATATCATAAGGATATTAGAACATGGAACATATTTCCTATCAGACTTATGGATAGGAGAAGAATTTATGAATGAACAAGAGACAGAGAGCACTGTGAGATGTAAAATGGATGATTTTTATAGCATTAAATCAAAAAGAATAAATAAAATAAATAAAACCATGTTAGTATTCAGTTAAGATGGGATAGGCCAAAGTAGTGTTCAGTTACAGTTCCACTTTTCCTGTTCTATTACAGAGATATCACTTAGGTCTTCCATCTCATGCATTAAGCTTCACAGTCTCTACATATTACAATGCAAACAATCCATGAAATGTAAACAACTGCTGAGAAAATCCAATCCTTTCGATCCTATGTATGGCCATAGCAATGTTCACTTACAATTCCACTTTTCCATTTCTAATAAAGAGACATCTCTTAGGTCTACCATAAAATGTATAAAGCTTCAAAGTCTCCACGTATTACAATTAAAATGATCCTAGAATTGTAAAACACTGCTGTGAAAATTCCATCCTTTCGATCCTATGTTTGCCCATATTAGTATTCAGGAGAACTTTGTCAAATTTATAAGAATATGAGTCAGCCAGTAGGAGGTGTGTTTTGAAGGTAGTTAAGAATCCTGTGGTGCTGAAGTGAGGAAGGTTGTACTCCAAGCATGTGGCACTGCCTGTGCAAAGGTGCAGGGGCTGGAACTAGAAAACTAATTTGGAATGGAGCCTGCTTTTAGGGAAAAACCATGAAATAGGACTGGAAAGATAAGTGAAAGTCTAGTTCATGATCATAAGAAGCTCCATTTAGTTGAGACATAATAAAGCCACCAAAGAGAACTTTGTCAAATTTATGAGAATGAGTTATTACCTAGTTTATAAGCATATGAATCATTCCCAGTCAAAGGATATAAATAGGCAGTTTTTTAATGAAGAGATCAAAACTATATGTAGTCATGTGAAAAAATGCTCTAAATCATTGTTGATTAGAGAAATGCAAAGTAAAACAACTTTGAGATCTCACACCTATCAGATTGGCTAAAATGATAGAAGGAGAAAATGACAAATGTTGGAGGAGATGTAAAAAAAATTGGGATACTGATACCCTGTCGGTGGAACTGCAAACTGATCCAACCATTTTGGAGAGTAATCTGGAACCCAAAGAGTTATAAGACTGCGTATACCCTTTGACCCAGCAATATCACTATTAGGTCTGTTTCCCAAAGTGAGCAGGGAAAAGGGGAAAGAACCTAATAAATCTAAAATATTTATTGCAACTCTCTTTTTAGCATTAAAGAATTGGAAATTGAGAGGATGCACATCAATTGGGGAATGGCTAAACAAGTTGTAGTATATGATTGTGATGGAATACTATTGTTTTGTAAGAAATGAATGGTTTAATTTTAGAAAAACTTGCATGAAATAATGAAAAGTGAAAAGAGCAGCACCAAGAGAACATTAGGTACAGTAACAGTATTGTTATTCAAAGAACAATGGTAAATGACATGGTTATTCTGAATATTATAAATACTCAAATCAACTGCAAAGGACCTATGAAGGAAGATGCTATACATCTCCAGAGAAAGAACCAATAAACAGAAGTATGCATAGTATGGTTTTACATATATTTATATATCTGTGTCAAATGACAGCCTTCTCTAATGAGGGATGGTGAGGGAAGGAGACAGTTTGGAACTTAAAATGTAAATTTAAAACGTAAAATGTAATTTTAAATTTAATGTAAATGTAAATTTAAAATGTAAGTTTAAAACTTAAAATGTAAAATTAAATTTAGAAAAATGAATTCACTTGTAAATTTGTCTGGTCTTGATGATTTTTTCCTAGGGTGATCATTGATGGCTTGTTCATTTTCTTTTTCTAAGATCAAACCCTATTTAAGTATTCTATTTCCCTTTTCTGTTAATCTGGGCAATTTATATTTTTGTAAATATTCATCCATTTTACTTAGATTGTCAATTTTGCTGGCATATGATTGGACAAAATAACTCCCAATAGTTGTTTTAATTTCATCTTCATTGGTAGTGCATTCACCCTTTTCATTTTTGATACTGGTAATTTGGTTTTCTTTTTTTTAATCAAATTAATAAACGGTTTGTCTATTTTATTGAATTTTTAAAATAAAACCAGCTCCCAGGTTTATTTATTAGTTCAACTGTTTTCTTGCTTTCAATTTTATCAATCTCACGTTTGATTTTCAGGATTTCCATTTTGGTGTTTAATTGGTGATTTTTAATTTGTTCTTTTTCTAGTTTTTTCAGTTGCATACCCAATTAATTGATCTATTCTTTCTTTTATTGATGTATGCATTAGCAGATAGGAATTTTCATCTAAGTACTGCTTTAGCTATACATCAAAACTTTTGGGATGTTTCATTGTTGTCATTCTCTTTAATGAAATAATTGATTGTTTCTATGATTTGTTCTTTGACCCACTTATTCTTTAGGATTAGATTATTTAGTTTCCAATTAATTTTTAATCTATGCCTTCACAGCCCTTTATTCCAGGTAATTTTTATTGCATTATGGTCTGAAAACTAAGCATTTGATATTTCTGCTTTTCTACATTTGGTTGTGAGGTTTGAGTTGATACATTTATCCAGTTTCAGTCAGCATCTTGCAAGCGGCAGACATAGAGGATTAAAGAGTCAATCCGATTTTAGAGGTAACATACCTCCTCTAAATTGCAGGCTTTGCTGCAGTTGGTGGCATGGAAGGGCTGAAGAACAAATACTTTACAGCCGTGGCCAGCAACCGGAGTGCCAACAACAGCTGTGGGTTGCCTAGAGATGATGCTTTCCATATTTTCCGAGACCCTATCAATTCTGATCTTCCCTGGCCAGGGATTCTTCTTGGAATGTCAGTTCCTTCACTCTGGTACTGGTGCACTGATCAGGTACAGGTCAACCTCACTTGCCGTGTATTCAATATGCATAGCTTGATTTCAGCACATTCCTTTAATTCTATCTGTGATTCAATGTAAGTCATTGCCAGGCATTATGTGCCTCAGGTTAATTAATCTTCCCTCTAGACTGTTTAAAGACCTCTCCTAGGTCCTGTTTCTTTCTAATCTTGTCTTCTTGGAGTTGTGCTCTGATTCCTCTTTCCTTTCCTCTCTGCTTCCTCAAGCTCCCTAATGATGTTTAAATCAACCTAAAATTCCAAGTTTAGCAAAATGGGGGAAAGAGGGTGGGCATAACTCTTAAAGAGACAGTACCTCTCACTTGTAGGTGAACAGCATCGCATTTTCAACACAATTTTACCTTCAATGTTAAAAATAGATGGAAAGCAATCAGTCCCAAGAGGCCACTTTGGTGGGGGGAGGATGTTCAAAGCAGATATTTTTGGTTTTGTTTTTTGTTTTTTGGTGAGGCAATTGGGGTTAACTGACTTGTCCAGAGTCACACAGCTAATGAGTGTTATGTGTCTGAGCTCAGATTTGAACTCAGGTCCTCCTGACTTCGGGGCTGGTGCTCTAACCACTGTGCAATCTAGGTGCCCCACAAAGCAGATATTTTTTAAAACATTTTCAGCAAATACAGAAAATGTTCTAAATACTTCTCCAACATATTAAATTTCTGGTACTGTTAAGGCCTGTGTTTTCAGTCCAGTTCTTCAATGTATTTGAGTGTAAAGCCCTTATAATTAGGGCAGACAGCAGGGACACTGCCCTGGATAGCTGAAATTTAGAGGGTGCTGACAGTCTTTGTAATCTCCCTGGGGCATAGAAACAAATTAAATAAATGTCTCACAAGAATAATTAATTAAAATAAGAAAGTCCAGGAACAACTTCTCCCTAGCAGCCACTAGGGAAGCAAGTGACCCACTTTCCAATCTAGTTCTGCTCCCACCCTATCTATGTCCTCAGCAGCTTCTTCATCAGAAGACTCGCAGTTTTCCTGAAAATATTTCTTCTCCCTGATGATCATAGTTCAGATGAGCTACTTCTTGCCCTGCCCCTCAAGCTTATAGCCTTCCTAGCAGTGTTTGGGTACGATCTCCTCATGTGCTGCTTGCCCCCAGTGCAAAAATTTCTATTTACAGCTCTTTTTTTTGGGGGGGTGCAGTTGTGGTTAAGTGACTTGCCTAGGGTCACATAGCTAGTAAGTGTCAAGGTTTTGGTCTGAGGTCGGATTTGAACTCAGATCCTCCTGACATCAGGGCTGGTGCTCTATCCACTGTGCTACCTAGCTGCCCTGTTACAGCTCTTTTTTGAGTGATTATAAATATTATGATAGTTATTTATTTGTTAAATGTCTGACTTTTTAAAAGGTTGGCTGTATTGTGATGTGACTTTTTAAGTTATTTTCTTTTGAGGGGAGTCGACTTTCACTATCTTCCTCCTCTGATGTCGCTTTGTTGTCTGAAGATGATCCTGGGTTCTTGGAGGCTATACCAGGAAGTACAAGCAAGCTGAAAAGGCTCCAACTATGGGCCCAGTGATCTATTCCATATCGCTTGTCCAGTAACTATTCTACTTAAACTAAAACTACAGGGTAACAACTTTTTTTTTTTCAGCCACAGCAAGCCTCAAAAATCAATTTTCTAAGTTAGAGAAGGTCTGTAATCTACTTTAGTGGAGGGATTCCCTACAGTGGTAAAATCACAGTTCTTTGAAATAAAGATCTTTTCAATAGTAGGGGTTAGTTATCTTTTTCTATGGGAACATATCTCTTAAAATTATAATGTAAGCAAATGGGAAAATGAGATTTGATTTACAAATATTTGTATGCCCCAAAATGTGTTTCCTAGTATTTTCATCTTCATACTTTCAGCAAAGATTCATCTGCACCTGACTCCAAGGAGAGAGTTTGAAATAAAAAGCATGTGGGATTTGGTGGATAAGAGAAAAAGGGCTAAGTGACCATAGCAAGAGACTCAGAGCAACTCCAGGCAGGAATAATTTCAGGTAGATGTAAGAACTGCATGATCATTAAGATGAATCCAACAGCAGAGTGAAAAACCCAGGGAATTTGTAGCATCTCTCTAGCTAGAGAGGTGTAAGAGGGGAGTGATCAGTGTTGTCAAACACAAATCAAAATAGGGGACACTAAACTGTTCATAAGGATCCCTGGGGCCCACATATTGACTTTGAAAACTATGTATTAACATTATCTACATTCTATTTTATTTTTACTTATTTTAAAAAATATTTCCCAATTACATTTTAATCTGGTTCAGCCCCACTTGGGAGTGTTGCTGGCCATCCACCTCTCCTTTAGACAACCACCTATCCTGACTGGTTCAACCATCCACCTGCTTGAAGGTGAGGGGTAGAAGGAAGGGGAGGCAAATTAGGTGGTCTCTGAAGGGTCCTTCCATCTCTATCACCTGTGGCCTCAAACCCTTTGACCTTTGGTTGATCTAAGATGGGATCCTTAATGCCTCAAAAGATCAAGCAAGTTTTGGAATCGATTGATGCCCTTGTCCTTCTTTTAATATTAAACCATCATAGAAGGAGCTAAAGGAGGTCATTAAAACCTAATATTTAATTGGACGCCCTGTAAGTTGTAAACCAGCAGACTCACAGAGTGGATTTTTCTCTTCATTGAAAGCCCTTGTTGTTTTGAAAGGTTGTGAATTACTAGAACATCAGACACTCTTATCAAAATCATCCGAGGAACAAAAAAATGGGGAAATATGACTGGAGAGCAGTTCGTATGAAGGACTAAGAGTTGTGGTGCCTTACTGGCTCACCATAAATCAGTGGGGGAGCACGACTGCCCCTGTCTCAGAAAAGTAAGTGTGGGGAGAAGGGGGGTAGGACTAATGTGAGCTTCGACTTCATAACAGAAGCATGTTGCTCAGAACACGGGAGGTGATGATCCCCCTGTATTCTGTCCTAGTCAGAAAATATTTAGAGGTCTTTATTAAGTTCTGGGCAATTCAATGTAAGAAGAACGCGCTCCATTTTTTTGTTTCTGTTGCTTAGGTGTGTTTAGCTCTTCATGACCCCACGTCCCTGGGGTTTTCCTGGGAAAGATACTGGGATGGTTTGCTATTTCCTTCTCTAGTGCATCCTTTTGTCAGACAATCAGAGGTTTAATGACTTGCCTAGGGTCACATAGCTAGGAAATGCCTGAGGCTGGATCTGAACTCTAGTCTTCCTGACTCCAGGATCAGTGTTCTATCTACTGATCCACCAGCTGCCTCTACTAAGTCTCCAACACTCTGTCCATAGCACTACCCAGCTGTGGACTTACTCTGCTTAATGCCAAGAGGACAAAACCAAAACGAGTAGGTGGAAATTACGCGTAAACTGATTTCAGCTCCACTAGAGCTGCACAAAAAATGAAATGAGCTGTCTCAAGGGATGATGTTCCCTGATGCTGGATGTTGTGAAGGAGTCACTGGATGACCACTTGGGAAGATTTGGGAAGGAATTCCTGTTCAGTTCATGATTAGGTAACATCTTCACATGCTGAGATTCAGTGATTATAAGTCAGTGAAAAAAAATGCATTTCATTGAGAGCCCCTGATAGTCTCTAGGATGGAAGGAAAAAATATTGCTAATGATCCTAAAGAATACCTAACCTTGCAAAACAGGTTGTCCCAAAAGTCTTAGTGCTGTTTTAATCTTTTATTACTCAAATAGCTTAAACTGCACTAAGACTTTTGGGACATTCTTGTATTTAGTCTTGAAATGTGTTTTGTCATGTTTGAAAGCAGATGCATTCAATGCATGTTAAATGTCATAAAGAAGCAACATCATAAATGTTCATTCACAAGGAGAGATGCTGGTCATATCTTGACCTCTTATTCAGGACTTTCCCCGTTCTGCCCCCCTTTTAGAGGCAGTTAGGTATTGTAGTAGATTATCTAACTGAGTTTAAATCTGGCCTCAGAAACTTTACTTACTATGCAATCTTGGGCAAGTTGCTCTGTCTGCCTCAGTTTCCTCAACTGCAGAATGATAAAAATAGGGCAGCTAGGTGGCGCAGTGAATAGAGCATCGGCCCTGAAGTCAGGAGGACCTGAGTTCAAATCCAGCCTCAGACCAAACACTTGACACTTACTAGCTGTGTGACCCTGGGCAAGTCACTTAACTCCAATTGTCTAAAAATTTAAAAAAAATTAAAAAAAAAAGAATGATAAAAATAGCATTTACCTCGCAGAGATTTTTGAGGATGAAATGAGATAATATTTATAAAACACTTAGCACAATGCTTGCCACATAGTAGGTGTTTAAAATATAGTTGTTTCTTTCCTTCATTATGCCTTTACTAAGAATAGATAACATCACCTCTTAGACCAGGGGTGGGGAACCTGCGGCCTCCAGGCCACATGTGGCTTTCTGGGTCCTTGGGTGTGGTCTTTTGACTGAGTCCAAGTTTTACAGAACAAATCCTTTTAATAAGGGGATTTGCTCTGTGAAGTTTGGATTCAGTCAAAGGGCTGCACTCGAGGACCTAGAGGGCCATCTGAGGTCTTGAGGCTGCAGGTTCCCCACCCTTGTCTTAGACACCAGCGCCAGCCCAATCAGAGCTTCTTGCTTCAATGAAATTCAATTCCACAAACATTTATTAAATATCTACTATCTGCAAAGCACAGTCTAGGCACTAGGGATATAAAGAATAAAAAGAAACTGTTCTCATCCTCTGACTTCCATGCTACCATTCACAGATAACAAAATGCAGAGCATATACAAAGTAATTTCAAGAAAGATATCAACTGAGCACATTAGGAAAGATCTCATGTAGCAGGTGTGTTTTGAAAGTAGTCAAGAATTCTATGGTGCTGAGGTGAGGAAGGAGTGTATTCCAAGCATGTGGCACTGCCTGTGCAAAGGTGCAGGGGCTGGAGATGGGCAGCTAGAAAACTAGTTTAGGATAGAACCTGCTTTAAGGGAAAAACCATGAAATAAGACTGGAAAGATAAATGGAAGTCTAATCTATGATCCTAAGAAGTACCGCTTAGTGGGGACGTAACACAGCCACCAAAGAAGCAATTAGAGGACAATGAAAGGCCATAGATAATTAAGAGATAAAATTAATAATTGTAGTAGACAGTAAGGACTTTCTATCATCTTTCTGACTTATACTTCATCAGAGGAGTTGTGTAGGAAAAGAGTTAGAAGTGATGGGAATGTGATTATTAATTATGTTGGCTTAGGAGAATTTTTCCCTAGAGAGGGAACCTCAGACCTCTTTGCCTTCAAGTTCCTTGACGGGCTGGACGTTGCATTCAGATTAAGGATGAACAAAGATGGCGACTGTAACACGCTCATCTCTTCCAATCCACCTGCCTAGACTGTTCTTGGGCTGAGCAAGCAGCCCCTGGCACCGCTGTTCCCTCCCAAGCGCCCTCTGTGGTTTGCAGGTCATCGTCCAACGGTCTCTTGCTGCCAAAAACCTTTCCCATGCCAAAGGGGGCTCGCTGATGGCTGCATACCTGAAGGTGCTGCCTCTCTTCCTGATGGTGATGCCTGGCATGGTCAGCAGAGTCCTCTTCCCAGGTGAGGGGGAGTGGGAGGGTAGCCATGGCCAGACCATTGACTGAGCTGATTGAGTATAAACCTTGGAAAGACCAGGAGATTTGGAGCCAGAGGACCTAGGTTCGAATTCCAGCTCTGCTATTTACTACCCATGTGACCTTGGTCAAATAATTTAATGTATCTGGGCCTCATCTTTTTGTCTATAAAATGAGGGAGTTGGCATGTCTTCAAAGGACCTCTGATGAAGTGTGCTACCTACCTACAGACTAAGAGGTAATGGACACAAGGTGTAGAAAGAGACCAACATTTTGGGATGTGGACCCAGTGTGGATTCATTTTTGCTTGGCTGTGTATGTTTGTTACGACGGTTCCCCAATCCTCCTCTTTAATTTGGGGGCATTAGGGTAGCAATAGTATTGAAAGAAAAAGAGGGCCATTGTCATTCTTAAAAAAATACACCAGAGGACAGAAGAAGGTCACAAGAAAGTAGAGACAAGTAGGATAGTTTTGAAAGTAATGTGTAGGAATTATTAAACATATTTTTAAAAAGACAGCAGTCTGATATGGAGACTCTTGTTTCCCTATAGAACCCTCTTTTTATGTTCTGCTGCAGGTGTGGAAATGCTTTTTTTGGTGTTTAAGTTCAGAATAATTTTTTTTTTAAATTAGAAGGTATGAACCTAGATGATCTTTTAAGGTCCTTTCCAGCTCTGAATCTATGATCCTATGAAGTTGAATTAGCGTTGGGGTCTTGGATTTATTTTCCTGGTGGCTGGAATAATTTTTGTTCAGTTGCTTTCCTGAACCAGTGTCACCAACTTTTCTCCAAAAGAAACTTCTCCCCAATTTTCATTTTATCATGGCCCAGTGCAAGTAGTAACTCAACGGTGGTCCAGCCTCCAGGCAGAAATATGCCGGCACCATTGGCCAGAAAGCTGCCTGGCCTGGAGGGTCAGGCCAACCAGATTCCTCATCTGTGAAATGAGAGGATGAGACTGAAAGATCTGAAAGGTCACTTGATAATCCTGGTGTTCCTTGAGTCTATTTGTCATATGAGGTTTATAGGGTCGGAAAATTTAGAGCTGGAGAGACCTTGAGAGATTGTCTTATCCAGACTCCTCCTCGTACAGCTGAAGAAATATTTACTGGCTCATTCATTCATCCAAATGCCTTCAACACCTACTGTATCCCTTGTCCTTTAGTAGCTATTATTGTTGTTCAATCATTTCAGCCATGTCATACTCTTCGTGACCCCGTTTGGGGTTTTCTTGGCCAAGATACTGGAGTGGTTTGCGATTTCCTTCTCCAGCTCATTTTACAGATGAGAACACTGAGGCAAACAAGGTTAAATGACTTGCCCAGGGTCACACAGCTAGTCTGTCTCTGAGGCTGGATTTTAACTCAGGTCTTCCTGATTCCAGGCCCAGTGCTCTATCCGCTGTGCCACCTAGGTGCCCAAAGGGAAATAAGATGTAGTCCACCATCTCATTGAGGTTATCATCTAGTCAAGATAACAATTTGCATTTGCAAAGACAAACATGGCATGTGTATGTGTGTGTGTGTGTGCGTGCACGCTTTAGGAGCTGATGAAAGGGCAACTAGGAGGCACAGTGGATAGAACACTGACCCTGGAGTCAAGAGGACGTGAGTTCAAATCTGGCCTCAGATATTTGACACTTACTAGCTATGTGACCCTGGGCAAGTCATTTAACCCCAATTGCTTTGCCAAAAAAAAAAAAAAGAGCCAATGAAGATTAAAAGTCTTCCCAGTGAAATTGAGAAGGAATGTGGAAAGCTCATGAAGGAGGGGCCATTGAAACTTGGTGATGTATTTAAAATTGGAGATATGTTATCCACAGGGACTGATGGTGCAAAGGCATTTTGGGTGTAAGGAAAAGAATAGGCAGGTGTGTAAAAGCAAGAAAGTATGGAACGTATTTGAGGGACAGTGAATAATCCGGAGAGAGTAGTATAAGATAGGGCCATAAAGGTAGGTCAGAGCCTGACTATGGAGGGCCTTGAATGACAGTTTAAGGAGTTTGTATCCCATCCTTTAGGGAAGGGAAAAGAAGAGAAGAAGCATTTATGCAGCACCTACTAATGTGTCAGACACCATACTAAACACTTTATAGATATTATCTCATTTAATCCTCACCATGACCCTGCGACATAGGTGCTGTTATTATCCCCTTTGTATAGGTAAGGAAGTTCAGGCACACAGAGGTTAAGTGACTTGCCTAGAGTCACATAGTAAGTAGATGAAGCCAGATTTGAACTTGGGTTTTCCTGACTTCAGAACCAGTGCTCTATTTGCCACGCCACCTTGGTTTTAGGCGGTGGGGAGCCTTTGAACGTGTTTGAGTAGGGGAATGACTTGATCAGGGAGACCCAGGGGTATGGGCGAGGTGGAGAAGAGAAAGTGCAAAGAAGAGTTCCATTCAGCCTAACCAGTTAAACCACAGAGATGAAACAAAACAATCTCAAAAGACCCCAAGATCTGGTTAACTTGAAGGCAAACTAACCTCCCTTCCTAAACTATTTTGTAGTTTTTATCCTGTACATAATGATATGTGTTCATCTTGTCTCTTCTGACAGAAATTCACTTGAGAGCAGGGATTGATTCTTTTCTGTATTTTCATCCTCATTACCTGGCACGGTGCCTGGTACATAGTAGGTGCTTAATAAATGATGTTTATTGGCTGTTGTATACCAGAGGAGGCAATCATTAGAGTCTGGCTAGTGGGAGGCCTCAGTCCTAGCTTCTCATAGCCCTTGCCCATGGTATTGGTAAATTGCAGACATATGGTCAGACTCCATTTGTGATGTTCAAAAACCTCTTCTTACCTTAGAGGATCTAAACCTTGAAGGATGGTGGGAATGCAAATGGGAAAGACTTCAGCTATCTTGGCCCTTTTTTTCCCTTAAGTTCTGATGGGGAGTCAGGAGACCTGGGTTCCAATCTTTGGTCTGGAATGGAATGTGACTCGGGAAAATTCCTTAACCTTTCTATGCCTTAGTTTCTCCGTTTGTAAAAGGGAGATAACTAATGATTTCTGGGCTTACTTCACTGGTATTGTATGGAGATCTAGTAAGAAGGATTTTGTATTCTTCTGGGGTGCCAGATAATGATTTTCCTGTGCTCTGAGCAGCCAGTTTCACCTTCCCCATTTATATTAGCCTGACAAAGTCCATAGATCCAGGACCAGCCATGTAAGTGGCCCAGATGGGGCTCTGATCCATGCCTTGCTGGATTTCCTACATTTCTGGCCCTTGGCCTGAGGCAGGCTGGGCCTGCCCAGAGCCTAAGCTTCCTAAGCCTTCGTCCAACCATATCCATCTCGTTCTTGCCTGTGTTTTTTCCTTCACAGATTTGGTTGCCTGTGCTACCCCCGAGATCTGCCAGAGAGTTTGTGGTAACTCTGCTGGATGTTCTGATATCGCATACCCCAAACTCGTTCTGGAGCTCCTGCCCTTAGGTATGAGGCCTCCCCACCTCTCATGAAGACTTCAGCCAGGAGGTGGGCTTTGACATTGACCTATTCTGGGTTCTGGCCATAGATAAATCTAAACTCCAAGCTAGGCTGGGCTTCAGGCTTGGCTTTAGGCTCTGGGCACTAGATTGCACTGCTTATAAGAACATCACTTTCCACCCAGAACAAGGCAAAAGACAGAAGATAACCTAGTGGCCTCATCCTAAGAGGAGCTGATCAAGGTCTCTCCCATCCCCGCCCCCAGAGGACTCTCCACCTATTCCCCAACTACCCCAAGATGGCGGGCATTGCTAAAAGCAGGGCCTGGGGCTGTGGCTCTTGCCAGAGCCTGGGGGCTGTTGGAGAAGAATGGAATGGGTAACAGCTATTCCCAAGAGGGAACTTGTGTTCCACCATGGTCTTTCCTCTGCCTCCCAGGGCTCCGGGGACTGATGATGTCTGTGATGGTGGCTGCACTGATGTCCTCCCTCACCTCCATCTTTAATAGTTCCAGTACCATCTTCACCATGGACCTCTGGCTCCATTTCCGGCCCAAATCTTCTGAATGGGAACTCATGATTGTGGGCAGGTGAGGGGGTGATACTGACCTCACCTCACAAATCCTAGCCCTCTTTGAAGTCGTATAGCTTTTTTGGGAGGAGACTAAGGGAGCAATCCATGTTGGACAGGAGGGAGGAAACAAACTAAAAGATACAGTAATCAACTTCAAGTTCCTAGAGATAGAATGCAATTAGGAATTTTTCCATCATGGTTGAATGGGAGCATTTAGCAACCCCTGCCATTGTGGGATAGATGGAAGGGAGTTCTTTCAGGCATAGGGGAGATCTTGCTCAGTTGCCCTTTCTAGGGGGGCAATCTTGGGCTGAGGCCACTAACCTTGAGACTGAGGAGAGAACGGAGACTAAGGGATATCTGCATCTTCACATTAAAAAACATAACATGTGAAACGTGCAAATATCTTGCAAATAAGCACTTCCGTTACAGACTTGGAAAGTGCCATGATATCACCTCCTCCCTCCCTCCCCTCCCCTCCACCATCTTGACTTCCAAGGCTGACTCAGAAGTTTTCTGGCTAAGTGGGTAGGGGGAGGCCTTTCCCCATGGATGGGGAACGGGAGAGAAGGGAGAGCTAATGTTGGGCCTTTCTCTGGGCGGCGCCTGGCTGGACCAGAGTGTTTGTGCTGATGCTGGTTGTGGTGTCGATCCTCTGGATCCCGTTGGTGCAGGCAAGCCAAGGTGGTCAACTCTTCATTTACATCCAGTCCATCAGCTCTTACCTGCAGCCTCCAGTGGCCATTGTTTTCATCATGGGCTGTTTCTGGAAGCGAACAAATGAAAAGGTAGAGTTTGTAGATTCTATGTTTGCAGAGATGTCTAATGTCAAAGTCGAAATGAGGCCTCAGAAGATCAAATGTGGCTACTAGAAGGCCCCTTTGCACACAGAATATCACAGCTGCAATGGGGATGATGGGCCTTAAAGTATAGATGATCACAACTGGGAGGGACCTTAGAGAAATGAAAATAAAACTTCTGAATAGGAAGAAACCTCCATAAAATCCCAGGATTTCAGAATTGTAGAGGATCTCAGAAGAGGTTGCCTAATCTAATCCATACCTAAAAAAGGGGGTCGCCTCCGTGACCTACTTAACAAGTGGTTGTCCAACCTTTCCTTGAAGACTTCTTCACCTCTGCCTCTCCCTTCAAAGTTCTGCACAAGTTCCACTTCATTTAAGAGGACTTTTCTGATTCCCTGAGATGTTAGTGAACCCCTCATGTCCCCAAATCATTGTATATTTATTTCACATGTGTCTTATACTCACTTGTACGTGAACATGCTAAGAATCCCCCAGGAAAATGTAAGATCTTAGAGGGAAGAAACTATCCCACTTTTGTCTTTATATTTCTGGCCTAATACCTGGCCCAGGGGTAGGGAACCAGTGGCCTCAAGGCCACGTGTGGCCTTCTAGGTCCTCAAGTTCAGCCCTTGGACGGAATCCAAACTTCACAGAACAAATCCCCTTAATAAAAGGAATTGTTCTATAAAACTTGGACTCAGTCAAAAGGCTGCACCCGAGGACCCAGAGGGCCAAACATGGCCTTGAGGCTGCAGATTCCTCACACCTGGCCTAACCTGTTGTAGGCCCTTACTCTTTATTGATTGATTAGTTGATTGGCTCAAGTGAGGGGGGAGCAGCACTCATTAGTTTGGGGAGGTCTTTCTTTCCTCTTTCCCCAACAAAGAACATAAAATGTCAGCCCTGAAAGGGACCCCAGAACATAGAGCCTAGGATTTCAGCACTAAAAGGAGCTTTGGAACATAGATTAGAAAATGTAAGAATCAGAATTTCAAGACAGAGTACAGAATTTTAGAACTTGGAAAGAAGAAAGGAAGGAGCCAAGCATTTATTAAGCACTTGCTGTGTGCCAGGCACTGTGCTAATTACTTTACAAATATTATTTCATTTGGTCCTCACACCAACAACCCTGGGAAGAAGGTGCTATTATTACCCCCATTTTACAGATGAGGAAACTGAGGCAAACAGGTTACATGACTTGCCCACAGTCACACAGCTAGGAAGTATCTGAGGCCAGTTTTGAACTCAGATCTTGCTGTCTCCAGGCCCAGCACTCTATCCACTGTGACATCTACCTGCTTCTAACATAGAATGTCAAAGCTAGAAAAGACTTAGAACAGCAAAGGGGGCTAGGAGCATTTCGTTGCAGAATGCTTAATGAATAGGACTTCTGGACTCTAAGGTGCCTTTGTGCTGCTTGACAGGGAGCCTTCTGGGGCCTGCTGGTTGGCCTGTTCATAGGCATGATCCGGTTGGTGCTGGATTTCATCTACGTGCAGCCTCGATGTGACCAGGTCGACGAGCGCCCAGGTGTGGTGAAGTACATTCACTACCTCTATTTCTCCATGATCCTGTCTGTCATCACACTGGTCACTGTGGTCACAGTGAGTTGGTTCACAGAGCCGCCTTCTAAAGAGATGGTACGTTTGGCTTTGTCTGTGGAATTCAGGCCCCACCCGGCCTGCTGGGTGCTGAGGTTGGCCAAGGCCAGAGGGTCTTCAGGTGGACTTGAGAGGCCTCCCTTTCCCTGCTATACCCAAGGCTGCCCTGAAAGCACATTCCTGGTGGTGATGATGAGGCATTAGGGAGGGGGACAGGCAGTCGCTTCTACCTCCTGGACCCCCAAAGTCAGATGCACAGGCTGTATGAGCTGGGAAAAACCTGAGAGAAATCCCTCACAGGCTGCGTCTTCTCCCTAGGTCACTCGTTTGACCTGGTTCACGCGCCACGACCCCTTGATCCAGGAGGAACAGGTATTAGCAGACCCTTTACCTCCGAGCTTCTCCAAGAATGTGACCCCAGAAGGCAGCAGCACCAGTGCCCACTTTGAGATCACCCAGGATGCTGCTTCTAAACCTCAAAGCGGTAAGTTAACCCTTAACTTCCTGCCTTTGTATGATTTTAAAATATTCTTCGCTTAAAGACACAGACCTGAGGCTCAAAGGAATTATATTTGTGCTACAAGGGAGTGTCCTGGGTACAAGATGCAAGATTTACAGTCTGCACCTGGATTCTCAGTTGGGCCTGACCTGAAAGAGCATATTAGGCAACTGTCTTCTTTTCTTGAGGAATCAATGTCCCAGTTCTGTGAAGTAAGCCTGATATTCCTCCCAACCCCTGAAGTCCTGGGAGTCCAGATTGAAATCAGATCTCAAAAAAGGGACACTTCGGGTCAAGAGAAATAAAGACAAAAATGAGAAGCCTTCACAAACTTATCCACAATCTTTTTCTAAAACTAAGGAAACACGGTAGATAACACCATGTAATAGTGTAGTATAGCAGGATGACTTTGGAGTCGGGAAGTCTTGGGTTCAAATCCTGTCTCTGACGTATACTGACTGTATGACCAGGGTATAGCACTTCACCCCTCAGTCTCACTTTAGGAAACTCTCAGCCTACAAAGTACAGAACACTTGCTGATTTGCATCAGTGGAAAACGTTTCCACACCAGGAGTTGCCCATAAGATGAAATCACAGGTCTGAAACAAACCAAAACAAGCCTTGAGTTTGGAGAGTTTCTCCTGCCACAAAAGGCCCAAGTATATTCAGGGATTTTCTCCCTCTCCCAACGTGCCCACACCAAGAAATCTGGAACAATGAATAGATGATATTCTAACCCTATTCCCTCCACCTTTATCCCACCCCAAGATACTGAAGCATGCAGGCACATGCTTTCTCATCTTAAACTCTTTGACATCTCTCAGTGATCACTTAGCCTTCCCTTGAAGAAGCACAGCGGGGACGTGATCTCTGGAGGCCGCCCATCCATTGCATCTTTTTTTTGAGACAACTGGGGTCAAGTGACTTGCCCAGGGTCACACAGATAGTAAATGTCTGAGGCTGGATTTGAACTCAGGTCCTCCTGACTCCAGGGCCAATGCTCTATCCATTGCACCACCAACCTGCCTCTCCACCCTCTGCACTCTTAGTGCTTATTATTTTATTTGGTCATATGAGGGATACTAGTGAGGAGTGGGCAGTAGCTTCCACCTCCTAGAAGCCCAGAGTCAGATGTGCCCACTATGATCTAGAAGGAAGTTAAGACAAAATTTCTTGCACACTATTTCTTTACAATCCTTTGCAGTCTTTGCTTCTTTCTAGTCTGATAGGTCAAAACTCTTTATTCTCTTACCAAACATCAGCAGCATTTCTCTCTTCCCCCTTTTGCTCTAGTACTCCTTTTTAGGGGCCTTCTCTCATCTCCCTTGGTGATTTCTCTTGTGGGAGATGAGATCTTTTTTTTTTTTTTTTTTGAGGCAATTGGGGTTAAGTGACTTGCCCAGGGTTACACAGCTGGTAAATGTCTGAGGGCAGATTTGAACTCAGGTCCTCCTGACTCCGGGGCTGGTGCTATATCCATTGTACCACCTAGCTGCCCCTGAGACCAGATCTTTACATAGGGTCTCAGGTGTGGACATCCAGTAGCTGTCTTTACACTAAAGGAGGAGATTGACTGCTTACCATCCAATCCTTTAACCAATGATGAATGATACCAAATCAGCCTATGAAGCTATAGAAAGAAGCCCATGAATTTGATGTCCTCAAAGTTCAATCTAGTCTATCACTGCCTGTTACTAGGTGTATGTGAACTCAGCAAGTCATTTAACCTTTCTGAGGTTCAGTTTCCCCATTTGTAAAAATAGGGTTAGTGTTAGAAGGAACAAAATAGGTGGCATATATGGAAGACCCCTGTTAACTATAAAGTACCATACCCACAAGACAAATGTGTTTAGAGCTTCTTGAAGGCTACTCCAGTGTATCAAAAGTATGCCCTATACCACGCTGGAGAGGCTTTGCTTAAGAGCCTGACATTGGACTGTGTCTCTGGATTAAGAAGGCTGATCAGCAGATAATGACTTTTGGGCACAACAACTCAAGAAACCATCTACTAAGGCATAAAGAGATTGGACCCTACATCTCTGGCAGGGTATCATACTGATGAAATTCTTTAAGTAGTAGTAATTATTCATTCTTCCACACTTCATTGGATCTGTGATCTCAGACACGTGTAGCACTCTTGTCCATTGCCATCTGTACATGCCTCGTAGGAGGTCCACCCAATGCATTGGCTGCCTTCCTGTAGAATTCTTAACAATGCACAGGAGCGGGTTTAGCCCATGGGCTAGCCATCTTTTATTCCTCACTGGCTACATGAGCAGCCCATCTCCTTTTTTAGTCACATATATCTTTTACATAATATCTTTTACACACATATGCTTCGCACACACAACAAATTGTTAGTAAATGCCATAGTCTGTGCCCACCATGCATCTCTCCATTTCCTTTTGCTTAATTTTGATTCCTCATAGATTATACTATTTCATGACTCATAGTCATCTAGCATCACTGGAAGAATACTGGTGTTAGCAAGATGGGATTTTGTTTCAGAGGAAAAACTTGGGGTCATTGAAAGTGTTGTAAATTTCTTGTATATAATCCAGCCCACTTTCTTTCTACTATTCAACTCTGGCCCAGTTTGCTGTCCATCTTCAGTGTCTTCCCAAAATATATGTACTGATGGAGCAGCTCGATGGACCATCCACCCAACTGCCTATCTATAGGCAATAGGCATTCTTCATGTCCTTAGTTTTTTTTCTTTTTTTCCTGTGTGAGTGGTATATATATAGTATATATTCTTTGAGTGAATATGATCTCATTTAGGTGGCTATGAAATGTTGCAGAACTTAATGCACTCAGCACAAACAAGCAACTACGTGACCTCACACTTTATACAGACTTCCTCTTTAGTGGGTTCACATGACATCCTCTACAAGAGCATTGGTGGTGAGCCCATGGACATCCTATCAGAACTAGAAGCAATTATCTCTGTTGTGCCTATAAAGGAATCTTGTAGGAGCTGAACATGTATGAATGACATCTTGTTTGAGGAGAACCTTTAAGGATGCATTTTGTTCATTCAAGTCAAAAATTTTTTTTGTGGTTAACAAATAAGCACAGTGAGGTTTTTTTATTTTCTGCACCATTCAGTCAAATGTTTGACTGTAAAGATATGATTGGCTATAGAGTAACATTTGCAAAATCTTGCTTATTCTCTTCTTATTTTCATCAATATTCCTTCAATACGTGTGTTAGTTTTTAAAGAATTTGTAGAGATAAGAATCTCTGTGTATGTGTGTGTGTGTAGTTGTGATATCCTCTCCATTGCTTCCCCCTCTCCAGCAATAATACATGATTCTTTGTAATAATTTTCTATCTTCCCCTCTCAGATATCTGAGAAACTGATCTTAATCTGGGGTCCTTGAACTTGTTTCTTTTAGTATTTTGATAACTATTTCAGTATGATTGATTTCCTTTGTAATCCTATGTCTCTTACGCATATAAAAACATTAATTCTGTAAGGAGGCCTATAACTTTACCAGACTTCCAAAGGTTCCATAACACACAAAAAAGTTAAGAACAACCTCAAAACTGTGTCACATCCAGGCTGGACTTCTGTTGTGTAGATCTGGTCTGGTCCAGCTATTCTTGGTAGCTAGGTGGCTCAGTGAATAGAGTGTCATGCCTATTGTCAAGAAGACTCATCTTCCTAAGTTCAAGTCTGGCCTCAGGCACTTACTAGCTGTGTGACCCTGGGCAAGTCACTTAACCCCGTTTGCCTCATTTCCTCATCTGTAAAATGAACTGGAGAAGGAAATGGCAAACCACTCCAGCATCTCTGCCAAGAAAACTCCCAATGGTGGCACAGGGAGTCAGACACAACTGAAAAATGACTTAACAACAAGAAGAAATAGTTTTATTTCTATGGTGTTATATGGTGTTCCTGATGTATAGCACCCTTCAATTTACTTCTTTTTTCTTTCCTTTTTTTTTTTTTTGGTGAGGCAATCAGGGTTAAGTGACTTGCCCAGGGTCACCCAGCTAGTAAGTGTCAAGTGTCTGAGGCCGAATTTGAACCCAGGTCCTCCTGACTCCAAGGCCCGAGCTCTACCCTACTGCGCCACCTAGCAGTCCCCAATCTACTTCTTGAAGAAAATATTCGTAATATATACACGTGAAACTTCTGCGAATAAACCTCTGTTCTCTCATCTCTTGATCTTGAACTACGTCTTCCAACATTTTTTTCACCGTTCTCTTCTATTAGCATTGAAGTCACCAGAGACAGTAAAACTTGGCTATCACTTTTCTACCTCCTCACACATCCTCAAGAGCTATCTTTTTATTTAGTCCCCATCAATCTACCTGAGGGTTCATAGTGCCATTTTCAATCCTAGAGACTTGACTGTGCCCTTCTCAAAAGTGGCTCTCCATGAGGCTGGGCCCTCTTTTTGGAACCAGTGCTGCGAGGTTGCATTAGAACATGTCCTGTGGAGTATAAAGTTTCCATGACATCACACTGGTTTGCTTAGGACCCTGAATTTAATCCTTCTGAAGGTATCACAGTGCTCCCTGACCTTCCTCCTGTCAGCCTTGCCTGGCCCAGGAAGGGCATGCTACAATTTGTTGCACAGGAGGTTCACTAAGGACCCTAAGTAATGCTACATTTCTCTGTAAGTTAGACCTGTACCTGAGGATCCATTATCCTTAGAGTTTCCCCTGCACTTCCTCTCCATAGTTTTCACTGTGTCTCAGAGGCACAGTTGGTATTTTATGGTTAAAGAAAACAGGCACAATGAGCCATCACATCTATGTCTTCAACCCAGGAGAGGTAGAACATGGTATTTTTATTTTAACTGTAGATCATTTGTTTTAGGCAATGGTACTGCAAAATCATCCAAAGTGAAGAAAGCCATCATTTGGCTTTGTGGGATGGACTCTGAGGCTAGCAAGACATCTGTGAGGAAACCCGAACCTATTGTGACTTCCTTAGAAGAAAACTCTCTTGTCAAAAGGATTCTGGATATCAACCTGATCATCTGTATTAGTGTGGCCATTTTTCTCTGGGGCTACTTTGCGTAATGATGGTATTGGGGGTGGGGGTGGGGAATGGAAGGGAAAGACTGTTAGCTGGGTTTCAAGGTTTTACTCTTCCTGATGTTTTTATTTCATGAAAACAATGGTTGGTGGTTTTTTTGTTTTCTTTTTAAAAAACCACTATGGTGTTGGTGTTTTCTAGACCTTTAATACAAATGACTTTTAGGTCTGCATTTTTGTGAGAGAGATGAAAAGATATGAGAAAGACAAGCCATCTCCATTTCTCAAGTCCTTTGCTGGAAAAATGCACACAGTTCAGTGATTTGAGAGATTTTAAATGACAGAAGAAAAAACCCCACAGCTGTTACTTATCCATGCTCTGTTAAAGGGTGCCCATAAATAGGGTGTGAAATGAGATGGAGCTTAGCCAAGAGAAGGGGTTAGTGAGCACCATATTGTGTTAATGCCTTTACACATTTTACTTTTATTGTTTAGAGAGGCAGCTTTGGCATAGCAGGTAGTGAGCTGGCCTTGGAGCCATGAAGACCTGAGTTCAAGTCTTTCCTGACACATACTGGCTGTCATTTGGGGCATCTCACTTAGAGAAGCAATTCTAAGACAATAAATTATAGAAAAGGTGGCAAGAAGGGAACTTCCTCATCTGGGGAATCTATCAATGAAATCATAAGTATAGCCCCTAATCAGGGAACCAACCAGGAAATGCACTTCTGTTCCTATCCTTGGGCAAGTCATTTCCCTTCTCTGAGCTTTATCTTCATTAGATGATCACTAAAGGCCTTTTTCCATTTCTAATATTCTCAGGCTCTATAGATTACACCAAGGGTCTTCATCAATCAGCTTTCTTAACCAGCTAGGCTTAATAGTGTCTAAGGAATAGATGGAGAACAGTTTCCACCCAACCACAACCAAGAAAGAGGCTATGGAGCCTACAGATGCTGTCTCCTGACTTCAGAGACATTAACCCAGGGAAACTCCTTCCCTCTTCCCCCAGAAAAAGAGAGAGGCATAGGACAACTTTGGGTCACAAAGATCCACTTCTGTACCCCCTACAAAGTGTTTAATAGAAGATGGCCTATCCCTCTACTATTGGGCTATATCCTTAATTAATCTAATGATTAGCCACTGTTAGTCTGAACACATTCACTACTCAGCTAGCAAAAATCCCTTCCTCTTTCTTAATCGCTTTGGAGGGAGAGAGGAAGTGTGTGTGTGTGTCTGTGTGTGCATCCAGGCCCTCTTCCTCATCAGAAAGCTTATGATGTACAAGTTACCTGTTTATGTTCACATTTGTACTGTATCACCTGGCCCATGTGTGATAAAGGACCAGCTGAGCATATTTTCTTCTTTTTCTAGTCTCATGGTAAACAGACCATATGTATTCTGTGACTTTTAAATAAAATCGTTACCAGCTCACACACCGGTTTTCCAAGGCTTTCCAACACAGTATACCTATAAAATGGGCATTCTCACACCCAAGCCCAAACAGCCCTGGTCTCTGGGTAAGTAGCTATTCCTGAGGCTAGTTTCTTAAAGGAATGTTCAGAGGATGATTTTCATTTGCTTTCTCACAGCAACTTTAGTTCTTGGAAATGAATGGTGAGAAATGGATGAGATGGTTCCCTGCAAGTAACTTTGAGCTGTAGAAAAAACAAGGAAACCTAAACATCTCCAAGGCTAGCCCCATGCTCTGTTCCTCTGCCTGCTCCCTTTGGGGATACATCAAGAAAGGTTGAAAATGACCAGCCAATCCACACCAGTTGTGGTCCTCAGGGACACATGACCTTTTATTCCAGATTTTCCATGGAAAATCAACCCAATGGCTGACTCATCTTCTCATGGTTACCATTCCAAGGGCCTGGTTTGCAGGTGTCCTGTTGGAATTGGATGGAAATAACTGGAAGGGGCAGAGTAGGATAATCAGCCGGTTGAGATGGCACATATCCACGCTGAAAGCCTGGATTGACCCAAGAAAGCAGCAGAATGGAACAGGGAGGCCTCAAGTCTCTTGCCCCTATCACTATCACCACTGTCCTGGCCCCCAAACACTTGGCTTCTAGGGAAAATGGATAGCAGAGCCTTTAGACCAAGTGTCTACTCAACTGCTTGGTGAATAATGGAAGCCATCAACCAGGAGCAAAGGTAACTCCAAACATCTTAGCCGTCTATCATTAGGGAGCTGTTCAACCTCACCTTCCATGCCATGTTCTTCTTTGACCTCCTCCTAGACCAGATAAACTTCTGAACTCCCAGGCTAAGGCTGCTTATTAACCCTCATTTAGTATGAGGATAAAGACCTAGGGTATTGGTTATGGTTAGAGCATAATGGAATGGAAGCTGGCACCATCCCCTTGGTGATCAGGAAACAAGACTTTAATTCTTTCAACCTTTCATTACTTGGGGTTTGTAAGCCTATGGCGTAGACAGGGGAGGAAGCATTTTTTTTTTGGCTTTTTGGTGAGGTAGTTGGGGTTTCAGTGACTTGCCCAGGGTCACACAGCTAGTGTAAAGTCATATTTGAACACAGGTCCTCCTGACTCCAAGGCTGGAGCTCTCCGCTGTGCCACTAGCTGTCCTGGAGGGAACATATTTTGAAAGGTCCTGTTTCCACAGGCTGAACCCAATCTAACTTCCCTCTCAGACCTTCCCTGAGTCTGGCTGCCCATGGCGCTGTCCCACTATGGTCATAGTTATGCCTGCAAAGCATTGCAGTGGGTTGGTAAGCAGGGGCTCTGCAGACAGAGCACCTCTGGAGAAAGACAACCAGAATGGTGAAAAAAATTGAGATGGTGCCTTATAAAGGTCAACTGAAGAAACTATGGTTGGTAAGCCTGAAAATTAGAAGACCTAGTTAGGGTTGAGGGTGTGTAAGAAATAATAGCTATATTCAATTTATTGGTGCAGTAAGCAGATGCTCAAATACTCTACAAATTACTACTAACAATAATAGAATAGGGGTGGGCAGATGAAGTCGGTGGAGAGTGGGGAAAAAGTACTTACCAGCTGGTTCTCGGGAATCAGTACTAACCTTGGTTGCTTCTGTGGGAACTTGCTCTTCAATGGCACCTTCACCCTGAAGTGAGAAAATCTCCCTCACCTTATGTAGCTTTGGGTGGGGTTTCCCTCTCTTGCATCATGGGCTTTAATATGGAATAGTGCTGTGGGATTGTCAACTCCCTCATGGAGCCTGAAATCATAGCATTGGGGCTGAGAGGGATGTTAGAGATCTTGCAGCCTTAAACAGTAATTCCCTCTACAATACATCTACCAAGTGCTCAACTAGGCTCAGTCTAAATGTCCCCAATGCTCACTAGTTGCCCCATCCCTCTCTCCCAGCAGCTCCAATTTTTCTAATCTCTCCTTTGCTTCCATGTTCCAGTCTTCCAAGAGCCACCATGGTCCAATGAAAAAGGAACTAGATTTATAATCAAAGGACCCAGGCTCAAATCAGATCTACCACATGTGTGACCCTGGGCATGTCACTACTCTACTCCCTTGGGCCGTTTCCTCATCTGATCTCATGTCCCTTGATATCCCAAGATTCCACTATCTTAAGCTCCTATAAATGTAGCATGGCCCAAGCTGACAGCATCTCCTCTAGGCAGTTGCTTCAGGGAACTTTTCAGCTCCCCTGATATTTAATATTAGTTATTTCTCTATTTAAAAGAGAACGGAGTATGCCTTATTTAAAAGTGTTTCTATTGTATGATTAACCATGATTCATCCAGATCTAGTTCGTGTGGCCGTTAAGGCATCTGCTTGGGATATGGTGCTTCTGGGAGAATCCTACTCTGCACTGCAATTGCTGTGTAGACTTCAACAATGCTCCGGGAGGGTTTGAAAACAGGCTTTATTACCAGATACTGTTCTAACTAAAAGAACAGGTTGTAAGGTTACCACAGAGAAAGATTATATATACACATAGCTTCATATCTGATTTGGCTTTTACAAAATGCCTTGAGAGATGAAAAATCCAAAGAGCCAAGTAGTGCACTCCATAGAAACATCAGAACATTAAAGAAAATGAAAGGAATTATACAGATGGATAAACACGCTTCTTCTGTGCATGCTGACCTGGATATAAGGAACTGGGTAGTAATGACATTCCTTTGGAGACAGCATCCACACCACAAACCAGTTCTTCCTAACCTAGTGACACGGGCCAGTTGCTGACCCTGACACCCTACGTGTAATTTTAGGCCACAAAATCCCTTCTAAGTTTTTGTAAATACCTCACTATTATTCTGGACTGGATGGAGTGTTGGGGAGGCAAAACATCTCAGGTTCGGAAGGAAACTCGGTCACCTAGATTATAGCTCACAGTCTAACCCAATGCTGATCTAAGCAAGCCGTCTACAATATCCTCAGCAAATAATCAATCTCTGCTTCAAGGCCACTAGGGAAGAGGACCTCACTACTTTGGGAGGTGGTATCAGTGTATTTTACCATCAGAAGGTGCAGGCAGATGGGAGGGGTGAGGTGGCTATTGGACTAATTTTCTTCAGTTTTGTACGTTACTGCCTCTCTTGCCATATATACAACATGTACATACACGTTTAGGGTTACTGATGTCATGTCAGTGGAATAAAGGACTAACGAATCAGTCATGTCCAAAAATTAAATGGGATACTTCCATACAGGTAGGAATACTATTACTGGAGCTGTTCATGCAGAGATGGTAAGGGCCATGTGATCTCTGATGTCCCTTCCAACTCTGGAATTCTGCTGTCACAGAATGACCACAGAATCTAATGTGATTACAAGTGTGGATGTGCCTAATTATGGCTGCTATCATTGATGGCAAACCTGGTAACCACATTCCTACACACACAAAAGGCTACTGCTATTTCTGTCTGGCCACCAGCCTGACCAAAAAGCACATGTTCCGCATTTTGGCCACCGTGCATTCTCCACAGAAATAGGTGGCACAAAGTACCAAATGAGAGGGTAAGGAATACTACGTTGGGGGCGGGGGGAGAAGGAAAAATGAATATGAATAAGAAGTGAGCTTACATTTTAAAAGACAAAAACTGGCCCTAGTACCAGCTGCTTTCATATCTTTTTTCTCTCCCTTCTCATAAGAAAAACTAATATTTGTCATCAGCTGAGAGGGAAAGCATAAAGCATGTAAACTAAAGCATAAAATAATATAAATGAGCTTGCTATAGAAGATACTGAAAGAAAATGACTTTAGCATTCTAAAGAGTAAGAAAAGTTATCTCCTGTTTATCCACAGGGGGAGATGTCAATAGCTACTTCTGAGTTCTGGCCACAAACTCCATCCCCATTAATTGTGTGTACACTCCAAATTTTGCTCTTTCTACATACTAATCATACTAAGTAATCATACAACACAGGTACCCAGAGAAGAGTCTGTGAGCAGGAAGTGTGTTGCATATTTAGTCTTGGGATGGAGAATGACCACAATGTGTGTGTATAAAATTGCTGGGTTGGGGGCAGACTAGTGAACACTTAAGAATGAAACGGTGAATAGTCTAGCTTATGGGAAATAATTTTGCTCAAAGCACACGATGATACACATATACTCATGAATGTGCTGCCGCTCATGCAATTTATATGTCATTCCCACTCACACATGGGCAGCAGCAATTCTCGGATCAGGGCTGTTTGCACGCCTCACGTAAGCATAATCAAGTGGCATTGCTTACCTTGAATACATGAGTATTTATTGACTCAGCCTTGCTCCTTGTGAAAGTTAATTTCCGTATCTTTCCAAGAACTATTGACTTTAATGACACCAGATTATCTTACTTAGAATAAAATAAGACCAACTGTTACCTTCAACAGGATGAACAACTGGCAAATGTTAGGAACTTTGTATGCTTCCATTATAACTTCTATATTTACTTTAAAGACAGTTATTTGTGCATATTATTGGTATTTATGAATGAATTAAAATGTGTTAGAATTTTCATTATAGATAGCATGTTTGAAGTTCTGAATTAGTTTTGAACTTGGCTAACACTTTAATGTATTGATATCTGTAATTAAGGTTGTCTAGGTTCTACACTATACATAGATACATGTGTATAGTAAATGAGGGCTGTTACATGTGTACATATATACATGTACACACATGTGCACATATACATGTGTGCATGCATACGTGTACACACAGATATATCAACTAATGATTCAGTTGGATTAATTTAGCCTATACCAGAAGAGTATAATTAGCCAATTCAGTACAAGGGTTCTGCTGTACCTCAGGAAAGGTAATACTTTTGTTAGTTGTCTAGCAATGGATGTTTGTTTAGTTTTCAAGTTTGACATACATGGAGAACAGAAAAATATTATCACCAATTTTTTGAGTGGTAGGAGAAAATGTTCCAAAGTATAAGGGAGTGTGAATTGTGGGAAA